AGCGAGTATATCCCAAACTCTATATTTTTAACTGGAAAAGTTGGGGGTCGTCTTATACGCCCAGTCGTCTTATACGCCGGAAAATACGGTACTTAGCTCTGATATCGAGCTTTTCGCCCCTGGCTCTCGGAGCAGGGCTGCCCTGCCATGGCCCAGCTCTGCTAAGTACCCGGACACCCCTAGACAAATTCCTAATGAATAAGCGAAATCCTTGGCAGCCTCCTCTGCAGCCGGGAGACACGGTCGCTGTTAGTCACAATGTTGCCAAGTACAAAGCCACATGCATCCAGCAAGATGCTCCCCGAGATGCGGGGGTTATTACTTTTGCTCTGTTTCCCCCTTAGCTCTGCTCTGGCTTTGGAGTGTTTAGCTCATGGGCCAGGTGTATTTACTTCACTCTCCCCATTTGCAAAACCTACTGAGTTGTGTTTGCTGCAGCTGAGAATGAACAATGGAGCTGCACGCAAGGCTGGGAAGTAGAAGGCCGAACAGGGAAGGATTTGAATAGTTACCAACAATGGAAAACAAAGGGTTAAAATGAAACCCTTCCTGTAGCCTAACCCTGAGGACTCGCTGCTGAGAAGGAGAGTCTAGCAGAGAGGTCACTGTGGGCGTAGCACTGAGCTGGTGAGTGACCTTCCACACTGGAGCTCATCACCAAGGGATGGTCTCCCCACCCACATGACCACCTCCCTGTGATCATAGAGACCAATCAAATGAGAGCAAATTAGCATAGAGGCAAAACTTGGATTCTCCTCACTCAGGAGGCTCAATATAAGGGGCAGGTGCTGTGGGGGATTCTCAGTGACTCTGGTTGTTTTTCTCCCAAGGGCCTGAAATCCCCTCACCATGCTCTGGGCTCCCCTCATTGTCCTGCTGGGGACATGGTGCACAGGTGAGAACACAGGGAATGGATTAAATATATATTAAAGTTACGTCTGAAGCCAATTCAGAAACCGCGTCACTAGGGGCCGGGGACGGACAGAGAGGGTTTGACAGGTTTTTACCATATTTTCCAGGTTCCAGCTCGCAGACTGTGCTGACTCAGCCGCCCTCAGTGTCAGTGTCTCCAGGAAACACCGTGAAACTCTCCTGCACCATGAGCAGTGGGACCAGCATCAGTGGCTACCATGTGTCCTGGTACCAGCAGCAACCTGGGAATTCTCCACGATACCTGCTGAGACACAAGTCAGATTCTGACAAGCACCAGGGCTCTGGGGTCCCTGCTCGCTTCTCTGGGTCCAAAGATACGTCCAGTAACACCGGCTATTTGACCATCTCCGGGGCCCTGACAGAGGATGAGGCTGAATATTACTGTGCTGCGTGGAAGGGTGGGAGTGATCCTCACAGTGACACAGACAGAAGTGGAAGTGAGACAAAAACCTGCCACCCGTCCCCTCCTGAGTACAATGAGGAGATCAGAATCTCATCTTTCTTTAAAACAAAAACCCTAACCCTTATGACTGTGAAGGAAAACTTGGAAATGTGATTTGAATGTAACCAGCGGCTGCCTGAATGTGCAGAGAGCCTGAAACAATAGCAACGGGAAAGTGTGATTTGCCTTATTTACCTCAACTGTGAAACATGCAGCTCAGGGGGCTCCTAACAACACCACCCTGGCTGTTTGAGGGGCTCTTTACTGATGCTGTTCCATCATAGCTCTGCTGGGGATGTGTCAGCAGACAACCCCACAAGGAGTCCCCAGCCTGCCTGGGTGAGTGCTGATGCCTCTCCCTGCTGGGACGGAGCCCTGGTGACAGAGGAAATGGTTCCAGAGAGTGGGGAAGCCCCTGCTGCACAAAATGGAGTCACTGGCAGCGCTCGCTCTTGTGCGGATGACCCCTGGCCCTGACAAGCCAAGGAGCAGAAGGGCCATGGTGTGGGGGCAAGGCCAGGACACAAGGGGGCTGTGCTAGGCAGGCATGTAGAGCCTCTAAATGTCTTCATCTGGCTCTAACAGACACAGCTCTCTATGGCCCTTGCTCTTTCCCTCCTCAGACTGTCACTGCTGTGGTTTGCCGGACACCTCTGCCCTTCACCCTGCTCAATCTCAAGTTACAGCCGCCTGTGACATCCCTAGCCAGGGCTCCAGAGATCTCGCCAGGGGCCTGCAGCAAAGAGGGGGCTGCAAGATCCTGACATTTCTGAAACAACAAGCCCATGGGCGGGTGATGGATCAGAAAGTAAAGGAATAACAGTCCTGACTGAGAGCCCCCAGGAATCTGGACGGGAGGGAGAGGGGCCACCCACTTGCCCCTTCCCCCTCCTTCCCCCCTGGCAGCTTCCACAATGGCTGCAGTTCTTCCTTCTGAGCCAGACCCACTGGGGATCAGAGTAAATACTCCAAGAACCCCAAGCATTGCCAACTGGCATCCCGATTTGAAATGTGCAGTGAGGGAACAGAGCCCTCTAGGGGGGTTAACGCCCTAGAAGGAGGTTTTGCTGAGAGCCCCGTTG